AGTATGAAGGTGAAGTCGTTGCAAGTAGGATCACAGTTTGAGAGAGTGGCAGTTCTATCTCAATAATTTTCCATTTGAATATGTTGTCAGAGCATCAAAATAAAACTTACTACTGCCTGGCAAGTTGTCCTGCAGCAAGTGGGAGACCATTTTAGGTCGCTGTTTCAGGAGGGTCCTCATTAGATTAGTTGGCTCCCCTCCGCTTCCCTTAGAGGTACTGGCCAAGGACGGTTTCTTCAACTGGGCAGGGGACACTTCTGAAAAGGGCCAAAGGAGGAAAAAACAATAGCATTAAATTCTGTTCAAAATGATGGGCAGAAAAAAGCATAGGCTGGTCAATTTCTAAACAACCCTTACCCTTCTGGACAGTGCGGACTTCCTGAACATCCTCTTGGAACTCCATGCTGACCTGACGGACCACACTGCTGTTCTTCTGGCCCATCTCAGCAGCCAGGAAAGGGCATTTTGAAGCCACCGCCTGGCCTGAGGGTGGGATAGGGTGACCAGCAGGCAGCTTGGTCTCCACTTCTTGTTTGGGTCCTGCAAGTGGACAAAAGGAGTTTTAGACCTCAGCTATATCAATTCTTAAAACCCCAAAACAATATCATATGTAGCAATAATTTAGTCTTTAAGTCAACTCGGATATTTTACTTCATGTAATGGCGATACAGTGTAAATTTAGATATTCAGGTTAAAAAGTTCATCACCCCTACCTTCAACAGCAGACATGGTGTCCTCAGTCTTCTGGTGGGAGGAGGATGAACAGAGGGCCCGTACCATTGAAGGGGCCATGGGCTTTGAGGCTAGCTCCATCATGATAGGGCATCGCTGGGCGTACACTACCAGAGATTTTTTAGGCTGCTGGAAGAAGGCCTGGGGCACACGAGTCAGGAACGGACATCGACGCACAATCACATCCATAATCAGCAGTTGTGATGATGATTGTCCAGAGATCTGAAGAAGACAGTTGAGACTTCATTGAAGCGTGCTGTGGACAGTTAGGTACTACTTTCTATGTGCTGCAAAGAGCTGTTTTGCAAGCTGTCGTCTTAAAGGTACAGTACACCCAAAAACACAAAGGTAGTAATGTTTTTGCCCTTTTTACCTGAAATGCAAACAATCCATTCTAATAGTTTCAGTGTCATTTCGACACTGTTACACAGTAATACACACATTTAATTAAATGTGTCATTTTCCTTCTATGTAAGGTATGCAACTGTTAAAATGCAATGGTAGAGAAATTGTTCTCAGTGAGTTCTCAAATGAAGAAAGTGAAAAGAGAATTTATTTTACTTGAAAATGTTTTAAAACGATTAGTCCATTATCAAACTAGTTGTCATTAATTTTCTACTGATCGGCTGACTAATTAATCGACTAATCCTTGAAGCTCTACATCTTTGTTTCTTACATTCATGACACATTTCTTCCGACAAAACCATCACCTTACAAGTGTATTTCTTTGACTGGATCAAATGTTGTGCTTATAAACAGAGGTCTCATCGTGACACAGTAATACGCGTTTAACAATTAAGTTTGGTTGCGCAAAACCGAAAATTACATAGTTTACGTCTATCCCTGCTAACCCTACCCCCAGCTGGAGTCAGATTTACACATTCCTCGACAGAGTAATCACTCCCGTAATTTTTTCCACTTCAAGTGCTCGGGAAAACGGACGACAGCCAGTAAAACAGAAAAAAATGCGTGAACATATTTGTGACTAATTTTATTTTCAAAATGGTCAACAGCCTACCTAAACGACTTATTTTGATGGTGATTTTAAAATCACACTGAGTGTTGAGTTTTTCTTCTAATGAGTCAACCCATGAGTCTTGTGCAACAGAAAATCTTCAGTTGTGTGACACTAAAAACTGTATCCTGACAGATTGTGTGTGACCTCATCAAATATCCTTTTAACAATAACGTGTGTAATTTTACCGATGGAATAAAAATGAGGACTTTGACACAACCCAGGAGCTACTTTTATTAAAAGCTCGACAATATTAGCCACGTTTAGTTTGCAAGTGCTCATAAGCCGATTGAGTTGGCCTTGACTGTCAACAGATTTAGTGGTTATTACACTTTCTGGGAGCAAGAGTCACGACTTGACTGTCTTTGACGTTAAATAACATTATTAATAAAATGATATATCACAGTTAAAGCATTTTGGGAAAACCTAATCTAAGACACGCTGAGTCTTTGCCCATCTGCTCGTGATTCTAGCCGGTTGACCGGTCTTAACATTAGCTAGGCTGCTAGCATTAGCTCAGAAATTACAACCAGAACAGGAAACGATGCAGAAAATCAGAACTTACCTCTACAAAACTGCAAACTTTAAGGTGTAATCCTCTTTATCAGTCGTGTAGTTTACAGGAAAACAGCAGCAAAGATACTGAGATGCTTGTTGTGAGGCAGTGAAGGTGATGAGCGCTTCGTTATCCTGCACTGAGGACGAACGAAAAGGACGAGGACGTGTTTGCGCTTATAAGAGCAACACTATGGACGATACCGGACGGAAGTCCCGCGAGATCTTATTCGTTTACGTCACAAGACATGCCAGGCAATCAGCCATACGAGTTATGCACGTGATCAAACACTCTTCCCTAATCTAAGTTTGTGAATGATTTATTTAATATGCAGAGGTGGATGAAGCACTGAAGTAAAAGTAGTAGTACCACTTAAAAAGTACCCCCCCCGTTCTCCTTCGTGATACGTAATAAATGGTTTACAATAGACTGTAATGAGGTTGTAAACAGATTTAGCTAATGTGTTTATTAATACACTTATTGACAACTATAACTCATCCCGTTAGTGGATGCTGCTGTATAAGCAGATGATGAATGACAGTATAGTAAAGAACACTATAATAATATGAAATAGTCTGTCCTCACGGGAGAAGCCAGAAGCTGTTTATACACACTTAAAAATGTCCTTTGATCTGGTTACTGCTATATTATAGTCGGCTATAAACCATTTATTACATGTTCATATCTATATATACTGATTGCACATGATAAATACTTGAAGTAAAGTTTACCTATACCTTCTTACTGGTTAGTAATTATCAATGTGTAAGCATCACTTAAATGTTACCATTGGTAAAGGTGAAGCTAATTTTAACTACTTTATTGCTGGGTAGCTCAAGCTATGATAATATGCCATGATTTAATTGTTGAACACATTTTGAATACATCTAAATCTTCAAAGTAACCATAGCTTTAAATGTGGTGGAGTAAAATGTATATAATATTTAACTCTCAACTGATGTAGAGTAGAACTAGCATGCATATACAACATAAAAGTAGCCTACTCAAGTCAAGTACAAATACCTTAAATCTGTTCTGTACAGGAAGGTCCTGTACAGTTGGGGTTCACAAAATCTTAAAGAACTTCTTCAACTGTCATATGTCTAACTTTTATCACAATCTAGTGTCTTTGAATGGATCTATCTACATGAGTTCTTACTTTAGATGAGGACTTGAAAAAATTACTTGATGCCCTGGAGTAGAGATTTTCTGCACACTTGTGTCCTCTGGTGTTGAAAAGGAGACATTAACCCTGAACAGGCTCTTTAACATAGATGTATACATGTGTGTTGAGTGACTGTATGTTAAGTCTGCTGGATAGATGAGAAAACATAATCTATGTATATGTGTGTGTGTTTGCATGGGTAATTGCTGAAGACCATTTAAAAACTATTTACAAAGGAGGTATCCACTTGAGGCACAGTGTTGATTTCCAACCTGTGTGTCTCAAACATTTTAGTCAAATTTGAAATTTTATTCAGAATGCATTAACACTTACATATAAATATCGGATACAAAAAAATTAAACTTCACTAAATATAACCGAACAGCACCACACACTCCTGACCAAAATGACCTCAATTCACAGGCTATAGGCAAATATAAGCAAAGCTTATATTTAGCAACTGTAGCAAACAAACACATAAATAACAGATCAATAAACTTGGCTTTTTCTAATTGAAAAAAATGCTAAATTGTCTTCTCAAAGAAAGAAGCAAATAACTTAGTCTGCATAATTGATTTATAAAATCAATTTCTGTGACATCTGAATGTGTTTATGGAGTCTTGTGTCCTGCAGACCTTGGCACAAAGTTACTTCCTTTGCATGGACAGCCATGGTGTTTTGCTGCCCTCTACAGATCTCTTTAAGCATTGGCACTGTTTCCTTTAAGAGTTTACCTGTAGATGAGGCATGTTGTAGTTTGTTTTAATATACCAGAATAGCCTTCTCAGACTGAAAACAGCAACCAATCAAGATACAGATAAATTTAACATACTATGAAATCTTTTAATGTATAGACTTGATTATTTAACTTTTTTTTTCTTTTTAAAAAATCTTTTCAGGGTTTTTTTTATCCACACAAACTCAAGAGTGTCTTGCTTTTATGTGGCAGGGGTGCAGGACCAGGAGAGGAAGCAGGAATAGAATAAGAGATGATGAGTGGAGTGAGAAGGGAGTGAAAAGCTAAAGTTAAGAGCAGAGAGGAGGAAAACATGTAATAAAGAACCAGGAAGAGAGGAGTGGAGAACGGGTGAGAAGAGGACTGAAGAAGAAGTCTGGATTTGATGAGTGAAGAAGAGAGTAGAAATGGAGGAATGAAAGAGATGGGGAGGAAAAGAATGAAGGAGAGAAAAGCAAATGAGATGTGAAAAGTTGTGGAGAAAGTAGGTGAAGAGCAAGAGGGACAAGTATGGAGGTAGATTTTTCTAAATATTAGTGTCTACAGATAGTGTAGACGAACTTTGCAGCTATATTTGCCCGATCCGTGTGTCAAGATAGCCTTGCCCTCCCATTACAGCGTCCCCTTCGGTGGTTAGGATTAGGACAAGGGTCATAATGGTACAACGTTAGGGTTAGGGGAAACACATAATAACGGCGTAACAGACTCCACCATAACACCGGAAACTCGATTTGCTCTACGCATGTGTGAAAATGCTCGCGCATGCGTGACGCAAATCGGGTAATGACAGCAGGAGCCGATCCGAACATATCAGACCAGACTTCCTCTTACTAGCAGTCGGAGTAGATTCCCATTTTCTGCCCTCAATCCGGGAATCTCGAGGTAGCCATGGCGTCCGGCCTGTGCAGTGTTGTTGTCTTGGTTTTATGTGTGGTTCTGGCCCCTTCTGTATCTGGTGAGTTTGATTTTGAAACTGTAAACTGACCTATTCTCGTCGTCTCTCACATTCTTTTTGGCGTTGTTTTGTGAACTGCGTATTTCAATAGTTAGCTCGGGTCGACATGTAGGTTTAGATACAAACCGGGCTAAACACTAACTAACTCAGGGCGATGTCAGTGACGTTAGGTCGGCCACTGAGAGCCGGGTTATTATTATTTTAACATTACTTTGTCTCAACAGACTAATGGGAAATCAACTGAATCCGGTCTCTTTATTTGTAGTATTTGTTGGTCAACATTGGTCGAGAAAGTAAACACCAAAATACACACAGACAAATTTAACGTTTGGGGAGTCAGCTGACTACCCACTGTCAGTGCTTGGGTATTTAATGTCTTTTCTTGTAGCTTTAGTCCACTATACTCTGATCATTTTAAATAAAAATTAGGCTGTCTTAAGAATTTCCATTTAAAAATCCGTTGTCTATACAGTATAATGTAACCATGAAATAAACACTGCCCTCGTGAAAGGTATAATGTTCAAATGTTATTTAAATCGTAGTTAGTGTTGACTTGTATGGTATTGTATTGAGAGGTGTCTCTGTTATGTACTCCATCTTCGTTGATATAGATGTGGTTGGACAGAACACGAGGAGCGTCTCTGTTCCGCAACATTATTCAACACCACCTCAAACTACAGCCTCCGAAATAACCATAAAGCTGAATCAGCACCTCTCTAAACGTGTCTAAAACATTACATTACAACATTACAACATTATAATCTTCACGAAGGTAGCTTAGATTTTTTTTTAAAAATTGATTTTAGATAGGTGTACCATATAAACTGGCGACTGAGTGTATATAAGGGTGAACAAGGTAACCTCTCTGTATAATGCAATGCAGTTAAACGGCACCACTAACTACAAATTACTGCAAATTACCATAAAGGTGAACCAACGCTTCTCTAAAACAGTTTCAACAGACATATGTATGATTTAGTTATTTTGTGGGTGTTGAGCTGAGTGTAAATGCACATTATAATTGAACAGAGCCCAGCAACATATTTGTCTTTTTTTTTTGTCCAAACAACAGTCCAAAACTCCAAGATATTCAGGTCATTAACATATATAATTAAAAAAAGCAGCAAATCCTTACATTCGAGGAGATGGAAGTAAAGAATATTTAGCATTTTTGCTTGAAAAATTATTGAAACAATTAGTCAATTTTAAAACAAATTTTCTATCCATCAACAAATCAGTTAATTGTTTCAGCTTTATTAGAGTGTCTTAGACAAGATAATATATTCCAGAATTACCAGTGATGCCTTTTTTTTTAAGTGGGTTCAGGGATATGTGTGCACTACTCCTATTTTACCTGTCTCTGAATTAAATCACTTTTCATGTTTCACTTTTCCTGCCTGTCTCTGCTTTTTATCTCTGCTCTGTTACAGCAGGGGACAATCACTGTAAGTCCTACACAGATTTAACCAACACCTACATTTCATCAAAATATTGCTACTCTGGATTTTGCTGTGGTTCCTGCATGAACAGATACTGCTGTCAAAGTAGTTTCCTGCGGCTTCCTGAGGATGAGCAAGATGAATGGTATTCTCTTCTGTTTTACTCTGTACTAGTTGAGGAGTTGCCTCTTACTTCAGTTGACATTGTTCGTATTCTCTCTCCTTTTTCCTGTGTAATCACAGTAGAGATGTGTGGTTGCAGGCCATTATTCACAAAACTTAGGGTAAAGAAACAGGAAGTAGTGTCTTCCTGTGCACGACCACCAGCATGAAGCAACAGTATGAACCAGCTAAAACTTGCAACAAAAGACTTTCACTTACGGATTCATAAAATACCAGCTTGTGTAGCTTATGTGCCTGATGTAGGATTGACATCATTCAGCTGTTATATTATTCTATATACACGAATGGCAACATAAATATTTTTAATTAATTAATTTTGTCTTTGTTTTCCTTTAGTTCTTCTTACCATGATATGACACCCTTGTCCATGGTCCTTGGTATAAGTACTGTTGTCGTCATCGTGCTCATCTTCATCTGCTGCTGTGTCTGTCCCTGCTGCTGCCTGTACAAGGCATGCTGCAAGCCACGACGTAAGTACCCCTTCACAAACAATTTTGCTGACTGTGGCTGTTGATGATGCTTTTAGATATAGAACTGGCAGCTAGTTCTTTGGCCAAGAGTTCAGCTACCTTGAAATTTACAATACCCAATGTTTCAGGAGCTCAGAATGGTCAGGGGTCTGATTTTTTTTGGTACATAGGCCTACACAAACATTTTTGTATCAGTTAGGCACTGATCCCTCATTTTGTTTGGAATTTTTCTCAATAGTCTTACTGTTTAGGAGCTATATCGTAAACACCAGAAATCCCCTCAAAATTTCCACTTATGATGAAACGTATTCCTCTTCTGTAGAGGGATGTAAGAAAGATGTAATTTTGGTGCAGTGCGTGCAGTTCAATGTTGCTACTAAAGTAACTACCGGGTAACAAAAAAGATCTTGAAGGGGTAGTTCAGCTTTTTTAATAATAAGGTGGCATGAGTTACTTATCATTCATGGGGTTAGGAGAAATGACAATATATACCAGAAGATGATATAAATGTTGTCTACTGTTATAGATTTTATCATATAGTTGATACTGTATCTATCCTTTCACTATCTCCGGTTGTATTGTTTACCAAAGTTTAGCCAAATCCTGTTAAGTCTACATCCCGGATCTACCTAATCAGCAAGTTAACACAAATGGGAGCAGGTGTTTAAACTAAAAATAAACTTATATAGAAGATTTATAGGGGAAATGTAAGGAAGTAACTTGATCTGAAAGGCATCTAATTAACTGGAATACCACAAAAGAAACATCTATTTATTTCATCCAGTTGTCCGATTGATTTACCAGAACGTCACTATTACAAGATATACCTTGATATCACAATATAAAATTACAGATGCTAGAAGATTTTATCACTCTTGTCACCTCCTGACTCATAGAGATATGATCCACAGACACACGTTCAGTCATTTGGATGGAGATATCCTCATTAGCTGGCGCTTTGTCAGACAAAAAGTGACAAGAGTGACAAATGACCCGGGTGCCAAAACATAATTATGTAAACAGATAATTAATAGCTAAAGCAGTGAGTCATATATTGACAGCTTGTAGCCATGTGCTGCTGCTTCTGCAACATGTCGCTGCTCATGTGCAGGTTTCCTGCACACAAGCAACATATTTTTGAGCTGCTGTCTGGCTGTTAAGACCTTCTCTACCTACATATGCATGTAGTGTCTGATTGTTTTCCTCTGTTTAAAAGAAGTCAAACTCTTGGTTTCCAGTGTGTTGGAGTGTTTGTCTGTCTAGTTTGCAAAGCAGAACATGAGGGGACTCATTTCAGGACTGTTGGCCCACCCACTGCATGACTTTCATTACTGCAGTTGCTTGGTCTTAATAATAACGCAGACAACAGGAAATGGAGTACAAATGATCTAATGCTTCCAAAATCACAATGATATGCAAAGGATACGTGGCACTGATATCAATTACAAAGAAGTACTTCATTCATTTAAGTTCAGCGCTGTGAAATTCTTCATTTGATATTTGTGTTTGTCATCATTTGATATGCTATGCAAAGTTTCACTTGGCTTTTGTGGTGAGCAGTGTATCCCACAGGTTAATGTTGCAGTGTAGTCGTCAGAGAGGGTTGTTGTTTGAATTCAGACCAAACTTGAATGCTTTTTGCTGCTGTGTTACGAGTCAGGGCCTGTATATTTGCAATGCTATGAGTAAGAGCATAGATATGATTGAATAAATGTTCTGTAAATGTAAACGCCAGCTTTAAGATGCTTAAAAAGCAGGGTTTATGGGTCTTTATAGTTCTGGTCAGATTGTCTTTATTAAAGGATAATCTGGTGATAGTCTGTATTTTGTCAACAAATCCCATGAAAAGACCAAAACCAGCAATGAATTGATCCTACTAAAAATTGTGTTGCCAGACACATAACGCATTAATAAACAACAACATTAACGGAGTGACATTTTCTTTTGTTACAATGAACATGGGTTCTGTAGTTTATTTTGAAATGATCCCACATACACTGTCCTTCTGTCATAAATACTCACTAGTGCACCAAACCACGTCTGAAAATAGTCCCCCAAAAATTTACTATTTACTCCTGTTTAAAAACTATTTCCTTAAAACTACAGTGCCCAGCTATTTGAAGAAATTATTTGCCTTTTTTAAAAATAGAAATATACATGTCTTACCAGTTTGTTTGTTTTTTGAAAGGATTATATCTACAGTAAAGGCCAGTGGGTATGTGGCTGAATGCCACAGACAGGGTGGGGAAGTTGGAAAGTTTTGAGAAGAGAACTAACACATTGTTGGCTTTAGTCTTTTCATGGAATTTGTTGTCACTATCCCTATCCTTTAAATGATAAGACAACTTATATTAATCTGTAAGTACTATATACAGCTATATTTACATCACTTAAATTACAGTAACACCCATCTTTATATCAGGTGTAAACATGAGCTGTGGTGTGCCTGTTAGCTGTCTCTGACATAGATACTTCAAACACTCTCTATTTTAATTTTCCTGCCACAGAATTGTGGTTAGTTTCCTTGTTGTCCTATGTGGAAGTCGGCGTCTGAGAAGCTGACATTAAGCTTTAACTGCTGCTTGGCTGTGACCACTCCTGCTTTAGAACAGCTATCGCGTTCCCACAAGACTCTTTCGTTTTTGAGACAAGACGTCAGAATCAGACAGGTTAGTTGAACATCTCCAGGAAGTGGGCTTAGTTTTATGACGTTAAAAACACTCACATGGTTTGCAACCAGGCCTCTGCCTTTCACAGTTTCATCTACATCACATGCTGATCTAAATGTAATGAAGTCTTGATTTTGTCTCGGTCTACCAGATTTCTTTCACTACTTAAAGGTTGAGTAATGAACTAAGACAATGACCCTCATGTGTGAACATTTTTGGTATCCTAAACCTCACTACTTTCTGTGAGGTGTCTGAGTATGAGTCCAAGTCAGATTCACCAAACCCCCTTAACTGGATTAAGTTTTTGTAAATCGTGTGTTTCAACCTGATGAATGTCACCTGCTCATGAGGGGTCGTCATCATTTACATAACCAGTGTCCTTTAAATTCCCATAGGAGTCGACCCGTTCCATCCCCTGTGTTTCTGTCACAAAAATATTACCAAAGAGTAAAAAGAAGTACTTCACACTGCGGAGCTTCAAGTCCTGCTTTCAGAAATCAGCAGACAAAAACATGACAAGTTTAGCAATTTCCTTGGTGGTGTTAGATGACCCAAAACAGTAAGAAACTATTAGTACTCTTATCCACGACATGTCATCAGATCAGTGGCATACTGAGATCTCAATACATATGAAGAACAAATAACAAATATTATAGCCAGGTGCAACAGAGGATAACATTGCACAACATGTTAATTTGATGAACAGAATATAAATTTTGCATCAAGTCTGTCTAAGTTATGTTTTATTTTAGTTAATATTGGAATCATATTTAAAGTCCAAATTCAGTCAGATTAAGGCGTTATGATTTCAGGTCAAATGAGCGTGTTTTCCTCCTTTGAAGAAAGGCAGACTGTCCGTACAGGATTAGTACGACAGGTCAGGACTACTTGTGAATTTCGCTTGTATCTAAAAATTACAGATTCTCTTAGATCGCTCGTACAAGCCACTTTAGATTGAATCTGTGGCGGGTCTTGAATGGGATCCCTTGTGCTTGGTTGAGACCAGCATGTTGGAAGGAAAAACACAGACAGATGCAAATATGTATTGGGCTGAGTGTTTGATATTGTCAGTCTAGTTGGTGACTCTTTGACCACTCACAGTAAGTATACCATGGAATGTGATATTTCCATGCCTTTTTCTGAGCTCTTTGTAATCAGTGACAGACAGCCTCTGTCCACTGCGCTCTCCGTTACAACAGGGTAGATTTCGTTGCAGTTTATGTCTCTTTAGTCCTTCTTGCCCTTAACCCATTATTCCTGCTGCCAGATTTCTCTTCACAGTTATTAAACTAGATAGCACTTATGTTCACCCTTTGATTCACTTCTTTAAATGATTCTCTTAAAAATTCCCCACAGTGGAAAAAAGCACTTGAGTTGTGTGAGTGTGTGAGTGTTTGTGTTGGCACTCAAGCACGTACATTGTTGGTAATAATACCCACTCTTGCACTTCCTGTCAGTTTGGTTCTTTCAGCCCACTTGCGCAGGTTGTGCCAATGCGTAGACCAGGCTCTGGCAGAGAGCAGCAGTAGGCAAAATCACAAGCAAGAATTTGGATTCCCTGACTCGGGCTGATGCATGTTGGGATCACATCCAGGAATGCAAAAGCTCCACCTCATGTGACTCATTGTTTCCATGACAACCGCAGTAGGGAAAACTTAAGATCTTCCCACGTCATTTACAGGAAGTGGTCATGATGCCTCCCCCACTCCCACAATAGTGGTGGAGTGACACGCGCATACACGCGCACACACGCACACACATGCACACGCACACATCTGTCTTCCCTCAGGTTTTTTTTGCTGTCTTTCAATTTCAGTTTCCCCATAAGGGTGAGGGCTTGGTTCTGTATTTATCTACATTTGTGTCAATTAATAAGTAACATGCTCTCCCTAACAGTGGTGGTAAAAAAATAAATAAACGCAAAGCAGTGTGAATCTTTGTATTGCTAATGCACTAAAGCAGAGGTTTCCAAACTGAAAAACTTAGCACAGAGGAGGGAAAGATACTGTGTGAGTAGTCTGTGTCTGTCATAAATCAGAGTCAAATGTCTGAACAAACAGATGTGTTATTTTTAGATTTAGTGTCACTAAGATTTTCTGAACATCTGGTCTCCAATGTCAGTTGCAAATAAACAACATTAAATCTGCTTTGAAGCCATACAAAAAACAAAATCCTTAGAACTCTAGCACTTGCCTGAGAATCATAAATTTTTTTATAAATTTTCACTTTTCAACAGAATTTCCAAAACAACGTCCATAAAGGACACACTGTTGCAGGTAAAGCTCAGATGAATGAACAAAAATTTTTATAACCTCTTCTCTTGTCTGGATTTTGGCAGCTGGACAGTCAGAGGACATTGTTTAGAGGGATTTTGAAGCATTTCCTCTGTGGACATAACACTCATGAGTACCTGTACCCTCCTCCAGTGAAAATAATCTGAAGACCATGCAATAATTTTAGTAGACACCATCTTAAGTAACAGCCAGTGGACGGGACAATTTTAGAAGCTTGTTGACTCGATAGCATTTTTTTTAGCTCTCTCTCTCTAGTTTCACTGTGAGATTTGTGCAGTTGGATAAATGCGGGAGTGGTAGTCTGAGATAAGTCTTACTGCATATTTAACAAACAGAAAAATTGCCTCTCTGTGTGAAATCTGAACTTCTCTTTTGTTTTAATGTTGTAATACTTGAAAGTGTTGGTCATGCTGGTTAACGTAGTGACAAGTTTAGCATATATTCGGGGGCAATTTTCTGTCAGTCTCAGTGATCTTAGCTTTTAAATTATTGCTGAACAACGCCTCCCATAACCGTACTCCTCCCACTTCATCGGAAATTGCGACTGAACCCCCTACCTAGTCCATATTAAATGTATTTCTCATCTCTTTCTGTGTTGTGTTTTTGGCTTCAGCTGTGGTAGCGACAACCACCCACACAACAGTGGTCACCACTTCTCCTCAGCCGTACCCCCAGCAGTCGACTACAATGCCCAGTCAGCCTCATTGCTACCAGGGGGCCCAGTATTCGTCCTACCAGCCCGTACCAGTGCAGCCAGGATATGGAACCCAGCCCATGCCTCAGGGCTACGGAGCTCAGCCCATGCCCACGATGCCTTACTCGGGCAAAATGTTCACACCAGGACCACCTCCAACATATCAGGAAGCCAGTGAGTGTTACAAAGGGTGAAAATATTACAGGTGTCACTGGGATAAAAGCTTGTTGTCCAATCAAGGACAACTTGACCACCAGTATTAATATCGAGAGCAAAAACATGGTTAAAAACACAAAAATAAAAAGTAGCCTTTGAAAATGAGAATGAAGGTGAACATTTTTCATCAATGAATAAAAACCAAACAATAACGTCACAGATGAGCAAATGGACAAGTGAATTAATATCTGTTTTAATGCAAAGTCTTCTTCAACCTGAATGCATCTGTGGAATTACACATTGAAACTCTTGATTGGTAAAATGTGTTGTCCTCCACCCAAGAAAACTCTTTTTCAGAGGGTGATTTAGCTGCTAGGCTAACGGGCAGAATCTTACATTCTGGAACACAATGTCTCCGTCTATAATATTATCTATTATAATTATCTATTTCTTGGAAGGAAAAAAGTAACAGATTAAAACTCAGTTAAAACTCACCTTTTTTTTTATATATATAAGAGCTGTCTGTGTACTTCATACACAACTTTAAGAGGGCTGTGTTTCTCACACAGAGCTGTGGGGAACTGACAGGGATGAAAGTCTTTTAGGAGTAACATTATCATTACACAAAGTTGATGATTGCATAGTGTTTGTTTTTAGAAACACACAGCATGCCATAGAAAAGCACCCTTTAACATAAGGTAATGACACATTACAGTGAAAATGCAATTTGGGAGCTTCAAAATGGCTGCAATCGGAAGCGGAGGTGGAATAACTGCTTCCGGTATACACTTGTGTCATGTCTGGATTTTGTGAAATAGGAAATCCATTTATGGTTACTCTGCTTGACAAAACTGAAGTTGTGGTTACTGTCTAAGCATTTTCAACCCTTTCATCCTCTTACCATGTTTTCTTTCTGTGTCCAGCCGGTCCCGCCTACCCTCCCAAACTGATGCCTTACAGCCAGGCTGCGTTCAGCCCCGGCCAGCCAGCGTACCCTATACAGCCTCCCGTCCAGCCACAGCCCAACGCTCCGCCCGCACACACAGACTACCATAACCAGCCTGCATTCAACCCAGATTTTGTTGCACCATAGACTATATAATGAACCACAGTGCCACACTCTCAGCCACTTTAAACATGCTGCAGAACTGGAAATGTGTGATCTGAATCAATATGAGAGTTCTTCCTGTGCGTCTTGATTCATGTGTTTCAGTGGTTAAATATGGAAATTTAACTACACATATGTAGTTGTTGAAGTGCTGTTGAAGAGTTACCATGTGAAAAATGTTGATACCTCTTGACTCGTATTGCATGGACTTATACAAGAGGTGAGATTACTTTTTGTTTTTATATTTCTTAATGGCTCCATCATAGTCATCTTGGTGAATTAACCATAAAACCTCTGAGTCTGATTTTAAAGAGTAGATGTAGTGATTGTCATCAGGCTACTGAACATGCCTCAACATCTCCCTCCTAGTCCTTGTCTATACAGTGCACTGGCTGAACCTGCTTGACCTCTTTAATTCACCATCTGCAGTGATTGTCGTCACACTCAGTGGTCAAATTTTGGAGGAGTTGTCAGTGTCCGTGGCCATAATTTAATTGCTCACTTTCCAGTTTACTTCAGACCAATAAAGTGCTTCGAACTATGTTTTTCATGTACTTTCCCAGGAAAGCGTGTAATGCTTCATGTGTTATACATCTTAATTGGGGTAAAATCAAGTCCAAAATATGTATTACTTCTCACTGGAGGCTTTATGATTGTCAGTTGACTACCGATATTCAGAGGGTATTAGGGTCTTCGTTTAACCACCCGGCAAAAGGGAACATTCATCATTTCAATTCAACAAAGTAAGCCTGGTGGCACACAGGGAAAGTTCACTTGTGTTTGTTGTTTTATGTTTTTTCTTTTCTTTTCTTTTTTTTATTCATTGTTTTCATTTGGCCATCTTACAGCTGTGCACGTGTTACTGAGCTAAAATGCATCGGCAGCTTTGAATCAATAACCAAAGGAGATTCATTACTTTTATTGCAACCAAACATTCACATATTCTGCAATTAACACAAATGTTATACTTAAATGCAAGAAACAATTGTGCCTTCTTAGTCATATGACTTTTATTAAACAACAGTGTGCATGTCATTTAGAGCACTTTAAAACCTTATTTTGTATTTATTCTTGAGTCTTTGTTTCTGATATTGTTGTGCTAGTTACACTTAACTGTTCTCATAAAGGCTTAGATTTAGCCAAACCTTCCACAATATTTTTCAGTGTGCCGTTTCAACATTACTGCCATCAAACTGTGTAGCCTTATCACTTCTCTATTTCTTATACAGTACTGTGTTATTTTGCTGTGATATTTTCCCTTGTCATTGCCATCACCATTGCCTTTATTAGATAGCACCAATGTACCAGTAAGGATTTTGGAAAAATAATCTTTAGGTTTTTTTTGTATCTAAAAGCTAAAGTAATAAGCCTTGTCATGTTTGTTTTCTTTGGTTAGCGATTTTGCAGCAAAGCCATCACTTCCTCTTTCTGCTAACTGAAATTACTTGAAAATAGTTTTACTAAAGTGACCTTTTCCTTGTAGGTAGTCACAGCTCATGTGATAGACTGATCTTTTGAGTCACCCTGTTGCCTGATTTCTCAACTTCCTTTGCAATTTTGGTTGTGGTCAAAGAAAATAGTACCTAACATATTGCATTATGTGCAAGTATCCCGGGTGCTGATTTAAGAACGGCTTCCAGCCACATCTATGCGGTGGCTTATTTTACCCTCTTGACATATGAGAGACCACACGCCAGCTAATGAAAGGGGGCTAATGACGGCACACATCACTTGCAGTTTGCAAAATAGTTTATCTGTGAGGAGGGGTTTTGTGCATGGGTTTCCTACATCAATCATGGATACATTACATACCAATCAGTTTATCTGTATTTCATGGTAGGCATGCCTTATGACTCAGATCTGTCTTTATAAATGTGTTCTGCCTCTGATTTTAGTCTTCTGGCCAGTGTTGATTCTTCAAGGTGACTTAAGTTGGAGTGTTTTTATTTGTGTGTGTGGATTATAGCCATTCATGTTCCATCTGTTTCTCGGCCAAGAATAGTTGTCATTGATGCTTGTATGACAATATATGTACATGACTTTTATTTTGTTAAAAACCCTCCAGTTATCCTTTAGAGTTCAATAAACTATATATTTTTGCTTTCCCCAACTGGTTATTGAATTTGCAGCAAAATGGTAAATTAGTGAATACAGTAACAAAGAACCGAAGATATACAAGTTAGTTGAAGGAGTGAATATAATTATTCAGAGTAATTCCATGAATTACAGGTCTAATCAACAAATAATTTCCCAAATGTTTTCTAGAAAAAAAAGTAAGGTACTATATAATTTGGTTTTAATTCTGGAGAAAATAGAGACAGTGTCCAGTTGGTACGTTTAGATTTAATTCTTCCAAATAATTGCAAGTGTAACTAAGAGAGGCTTTTTGTAAGAGCAGAACATATGTGAAGAATAAAGCTGATAAATGGAACTATATTACAAGTGCTAACATGCACAAAGGACAGATCACAGGACAGTGGGTGGAAGCAGATAAAAATACTAATTCAAAGTCAATTTGGGTGGAGTCACATGAATGTATTGCATCCACATGCTGTATTGCTCAACTGAACAGGAAGAACATTTAACAATGCCAGACCTGCCTGTGGTCTAAGTTTCTATATGAGTTGTTTTCAGTTTCATCCTTTATTACCAGTGGTGTAGGAAGTTTTCAAATCCTTTTAAGTAAAAAAACACCGTTTCAAGCAAAAGGTTTGTGTTGTATTGTATATTCAAAATGCACGTAAAGTATAAAGGTATTCAGACAAGGCAGACAAATGTGCACCGTATGCGTTACGCAATTAACTTCATTTACATCCCCAGTCTGCAGGAAGCCATTTGGCAGAAGAGACTAAAATCAGATATGGGGGGAGGATCCTAAGGCCCGATGATCCCAGGACTCTTGGTGTCTTTCCAAATATCCCACCTCCACCGACTGACTCCATTGTTTAGTCCGACGTCATTAGAGGCCTTGGTTATAAACAGCTAAAATTAAGTGTACATTGTATATACATTTTCTGCAAACAGATCTGAAGGTAGTAACTGATGGTGTGGCTCCGGTCAGTGTTTCTGAGATGGTAAATTACAGGTATTCCTGCTCATCTGAAGTACATGCTCATCCAAAATGTACAAGGACACGTGGGGTAACTTGCTCATGCACGTGGCTTCCGTCATGCCTCAACATTTGTTTTCAGCGTCTCTTTTGGCATTTCCCTACATCCTGTGCACTATTGAGGCACACCCAAACCGTGGATGCGTAGTATAAACTTTAAGACAACTTCACTGAGTAAATCAACTCCAAATGCAACTAAATCAAATACACAGCCATGTCTGTAACCTTCGGACCTCCTCTATCCTCTCCACCGGGAGACTGTGAGATTTCTGTGGTTTGTGGTTGATGGTAACAAGTTACCACTTTCTCAGCCTGTTTGTCTGTTTGAATTTATTATTGCAACACCTTTTTTTTAAACCTGTCGTCTTAGCCAGCTCACTTAAGAATAATGGTTTTAATCTTAATTAGGCTTTGAAATAAAAGAACGGAAAAAAAAGAATTTCTGGGGGTCAGCAGTAGTTAGATTTAATTTGAATACAGCAACAACTGCTGCAACAAACGTCCACAAGTGTTTCACATGAAAGGAATGTTGCTGGGTTACTTGCAAAAGGGTGGTACAGGCATACAGGTTGAAACGGTTGTCTCAGAGTAGTCGGAGTCCAGAGTTCCTTACCACACTACATATATCAGTTATGGTTTCAAGTGTCTTATCCAGTCTTGTGTGTGTTTTGTGTGTGATCCTGCTCCCGGCTGTTTGGGGTGAGTTTTATTTTGGTACTTATTCAGCAGGTTTAGGATGTTTAGGACTTCCTCAGTCATATGTCGACAGTCACCGAGCGAAGCCAAAATGATCCACTCGAGTTACACTAGATAATAATCACATGTCACAGTTTAGTAACTGCAACTTTGACTTTACTTCTCGGGAGGATCACTGGCAGTGACACTTGTTGTCGAGTTTAATTCATCAGTTCATATTACATATGCTAACTCCTTAATCTCTCACCCTCCACCCACTCTTCAACATGACCCTGTGTTTCATATCTTACAGCTGATTACTGTAGCAGCTATAGGGGCACGGATGGTCTCTACCATGATCCTCTCCAATGTGGCTCACAGTATTGCTGTGGAGACCTGAACAAAATATACTGCTGCAGTGAACAGGAAAACCGTTTATTTCAAGAAAATAAAGAAGGACATTTTGAAAGGTGTGCTCCTGTTTTGAACCCGTGTTTCTCTCTCCATGATTTAGAGATAAAAAAATTTTAAAAAAAAATCAATGTCACTTAAAAAACATGGTTTTCTAAAGTAGTGGCATCAGTTCACTGGCTAATTACCTCTGAATATTCTGTTTTTAAAAATATGATTACTTAAATCTTTATACTTTTCTGTGCTTTTTCCCCAGGCTTAGCAGACGTCCCGATATTGCTGCAATTATAGGGAGCATTGCAACTATTATTATACCCATTTTCATCTGTGTGATTCTCATCATTTGCTGTGTGTGTCCCTGCTGCTTGTTATACAAGAAGTGTCGAGAAAGACGCAACGGAATGCAGCAAAGTAGGACAAATTATTGGTTACAGTTTAGTTTGTGCAGGCTGCTATACTGTAAAACTCGATAATGCACTCACTATGCAGCTGATAACAATTACATTTAGGAAAAGTTCTGCATTTTGGGGAATACAATACACTTATTTGTTTTCTTGCCATGAGTTAGATGATACCACTCCCATTTATATACACTAGGCTAAATACGAAGTTAAGCCAGCAGCCGTGCTAACTTTTATATTTGTACTTCATTCATGTCGTGTGTTGTTTTAAACTGTAATTACAGCGCAGTCAAGTGGAAAAAAACAGTTCACGTCAGCCGCCTACATGTAACTCCAAGGCAGAGACATCAGGAATATCTAACAGCGATGATATCTCCCACTTGGTGAAAAAACATGCAAACAATCTGTCGGCAGAGTGGTTGCAAATACACCAACGATGGCAGCTACATTAATGTAAAATCCAGCTCTAACACTAATACAATCCATTTAGCTAATTTCATAGGGCCTTCACACTATTTGTGTCTCTATCACTTGGTAATGAGCTGCAATACACAACAACAATGCAGCTAATTTAGGCTACTTATATGGTGTGACCTAAAGGTTAGCACTAGGGCTAACCATCTCAGAAAAATGTGTCAACACTCAAGTCGGAAATAAAGGGTGTTTTTTCCATTCTGCAGACCCTGTGTGAACACAGCGTTAGCAATAAGACCTGATGCAAGGGGAAACAGCTAGTTTGGCTCCGACCAACGGTAACAAAATCCAACCAAGCTGCACCTGTACAGCCCCACTATGTTTAATGCGTACAATGACAAATTGCTATTTTTTAAGCAGTTATGTGTAGGCTTATCTCTTTACCTGTATCACTTGCTAGTCAACCAGTGTAGACTCCAGGAAGTCCTGACCAAGACATTGTCCAGCACATAACCACCTGTAAAACAGAAAAAACACATGATATATGAAGTGTTACTTAGTGAGCTTTTAGAGGTGCTGGTAGGTGAATTTCTATTGGACTGAGCCTCTCAACTCTTGGCAAGAAAGCAAATATTGTACTGTATTTCCCAAAACTGAACTAATGTGTATCTAACTAAACTAAATCTATGACTTTACCTACAGCTGTGATAACCACCACTGTAGTGAACCCACCCCAGCCGCCACTCACACCCTTTGGATATGAGCCATCCCACCCAGGCTACCAGCCTGTACCTGTCCTGCATGGATATGGAGGCCCACCCATGCCCACAGCACCACCACCTTCATACCTGGAAGCTAGTGAGTTCTGTAAACTTCTGATTCCCATTAAGGGATCAGTGTTGGTGTTTCTTACCACACACTGACAGCAATACTCAGTTTTAAAAGGACAGGTCTGGTGAAATTCTTTTTCTGTCAAACCTGTGAAAATACCAAAACCAGAAATGAATTGGTCCAGCTAACAAGTATTATATAAAATTGAGTGCCCAGGTATTTTAAAGCAAATATATATATATTTCTGACATGTCTTAAAAGATTTATGTCTTCAGTGGAATAGGCTTTGGGCTGAGAGCAGCAGATGGGATAGAGAAGTATTGTCATTGAATATGTTGACAATAACCAAAATAAAGAATAACACCTTTATTAGAAAACTGGGAAAGCAACAAACTTATTCAGTAACAACAAACCAAATATTTGTTTTTGTCTTTTCAGCTTATCCAGCTCACTCTCCAGTTCCATACCCTCAGGGGCAGCCGATGTATCCCCTCCCCCCTCCTGGCCAGAATTATCCCCCGCCATCGCATTTAGACGAACTCGTACAGATGCCCTACAACCCTTCTTATAGGCCAAACCCCTGAACTAGATAGATAACCTGATCACTGTATGGTGGTTGTACCACTATTCCCATGGCAATGTGTGGATGATTGTGTGTATTGGATTGTGTTTATACAGCTTTGTGAGATGTCAAATTAATTACAACTGGTGAAATTTTATAGTAATGTATCCATGATTTAAACCAAACTACTAAAAATCTTTGCTGTATCTTGCAGCTGCTGCTTTTTATGTGTAGACCTATATGAAGAACTTCAGGAATTACTAGTTATTTAGTATCCAATTTTAAATGATGATAAATTTTAAATTGAAGTGTTGAATGTTGAAAAATTCTAAATTTCAGGAGAGAAATACAAGTACCAAACACACATTTCAAGTCAGGAGAGACAAAAAACATAAAAACAATTATTGGATAAAAAACTGCAAACGCCTTAAACATGAACACGAAAATTAAGGCAATGTTTATTCAGAGAATTATTTCTCTGAAGAAATATCATTACACTGAGTTTTGGTTTATTCTTGAACAACTGAGGAGTTTTGGAATTTCCTCCGTATAAGAGGCATTTTAAACTGTTGTGTTGTAACTGTTGAAATTATGAGGAAATACTATTGATGCACTATTTAAAACGGCACTATGTAAGAAAATACAACTAAAAGTCAATTAAGTGTTGTTTGTCATGGAGTGTTGTTCTTGCAGATGATGATGATGATGTTGATGGGTTATGTGTTTGACTGTCCCTGTGAGCTGGTGATTCATGTCTTTATTTTACCTTGAAGTCCAATTTATTTTGTAATAAACTTAAACTGCCACTAGAGGTCGCCTCTGCTCCACTTCTGTATATAAAAAGGAACCAGAGGAACACACTATGCTGCAAGCCGGTGCTACACAGTACTGTTATCAATCAGATTGTCTTAAATGCAAAACAACAAACCTATGATTCTGACAAAAAGGCAGCCTCATTACAATTAAGTGCACTTCTATTTCTTGCAGAGGTCCAGGATTAAAAGTCCAGGTGACTGTATTTTAACCACCTGATGTACAGGATACATGGTTGGTAATCCTCTAATGTCTTTAATTACTGTAATAAGATATAATTTTTCAAAAATTACACAGTACTTGCACTGAGTGAATCAACAGTGTGACTTAAGTGAGTCACATAGGTCTTATAAAACCAACAACATTTTTTGGGTTGTGTAACCTACAGCATCTCCAGAGACAGTTAAGTACAACTCTTTGCTTTTTCAGCTCAAGTGAAGTACATTTATTCTCTTTTAGGGATACTTGGATTATTAAAACTTACTTTTTTAATCCTGTCATCCTGAGCCCATTTTGGTTTTGTGATTGTACTTTAAGGAATTGTAATAGCTATAATAATACAAGGTTGATAATACCTATGGTGATTATCGCTTGTATGGAGTATTGTATAATACATACACTTTTTATGATTTTAAATAACTGCGACATGAAAAACCTTTCTAAAAGTTCTTATCTATTTCATAATAAAACTGCAGATGAAGAAGAAAATGATGAAGAAATAGGCCTTCTCACAGTAGACATTTTGGCTTGTTGTAGCAGTATAGCACAGGTGTTAGTAATAGCATTAGATGACTCTGTTCTATCAGTGAACCAGCATGAACAATACCATGACCCTGAAACTTGTTTTTTAATTTTGAAACTGTGTGCAATATGTTTCGCAACATGAGCAATTAGTCCATTTCACATGTGGTGAAATCCGATGACTTGCTGTACAGATTCCTTTCTAAAAACAAATGGTTTTGTTTCTACTAATGCATCAAATAAATGGAGAAACACTGTCATTTATAAGATTGCTTCATGAATCATCACAATGAAATCAGTGTTTCTTATAAAATCCATAATGTTGTAGCTAAATATCAAAACCTACAGACAGTGTGATAAAACCACTGCACTCAGTTTAGCCTCTTCCTTTGGGATCATGTGCAATAAAAGGCCAGAGTGGGCGTGCTTGCATTTAATCCAGTAATAACCATCACCACTCCCTCTTATGGAAACCCGCACTATCCATTAATCAATACAGTAATAGTGCTGACTGCGGCTATCTCAGTCATCGAAGTGACGGGGGACTAAAACGGGAAAAATGAACCTGCCCGTATGCTGCATGCCGTCTAAAATAAGCTCTCTCCTTGAAGTGTGGCTCAAACTGCTAATGAGCACTTGTGTAGGGATGCCAGAGTCACGGACAATGTGGCAGATAATCTTTACAGCCAGCCATCTTCGCCTTCATTCTCTACATCCCTTTCTTCTCTCCTCTCCTCTGTCTCTCCCTCTGATTGTGCTCTCCACTGTCTGAAGGCTTTCTTGTCTGGCCTCCTGCCTGAGCTGCCATTAAGATGCTTTCAGCATTTTTCTCGACATCCCACACCATTCCTCTCTTCCTTTTCCCTTTCTTGTGCTCTGTGGAATCCTCTGTGGTATTTATATCTCACATCGGAGCTGCCCAGTGCATAGATAATGAACTCACTGTGTTATTGAATATCAGTTTGCTCAAGTTTTGCTGCTATGAGTCAGTGAGTTGTGCGTGGGAGCCACTGCTGACAAAAGCACAAACTCCCCAAAGTGTGCCTTTGCTCTGGCCAAGATGAGCCAAAGAGATACAGACATGCTGAACTGCATACATGGAAACACAAACAGACATGACATTATTTATATTTGGATATTTCTAAATCTGCTCCATTTGTAAGGATGAGTGATAAGAAATTTCCAACATTTTTTTTTCCATTACTAAAGATATGAGATAACAAGGCTCCGTTAAAGGTACAAAATATTGAGCTTGCAAAAGATTGAACTAAGTTTTGTTTTTATTAGCTATGATAACTGCTTAGCTTTATGTATAGCAGTGTGGAATATCTCATCCATCTATCTAATAGTCCATATCCATATAAGTTTGTACAGACATTCATGGCCCCCAGAGGATGAATCCTAATGACTTTGTCGAGTTCCTGACGTTTCTTTTACTGTCACTGTGAGGTTCATATCTGTAGTTTCTAGTAAAATGTCTAACCCTAACTGTTCCGAGAACTGAAATTTGATACAGAAATTCATGTCCCACTCAGGATAAATTGTAATCACTTTGGTAATCATTTCACGTTTCATGTAGAGCCATCATGAAAGTTTTATTTTCTCCAGTGCTTTGGTATATTCACCAATATACATAAACCGACAGCATTCCCATCAGCCTCTGCTGTACTTTGTGTTTAGTGCTAATAAGCAAATGTTAGCATGATAACACGCTAAACATCAGCACGCATTGTCATTGATAGCATGTTAGCATGTTGGTGTTAGCATTCCGCTCAAAGCACCACTCATAAAACCCCTGGCATGGCTGTAGCCTGTTATCAAAATATGTTGTTTAATCAGAGGAACGCACAGCTCACTGAAAAAAGATGTCATCCTCAGCACCACACAACAAGAGGACAATCAAAACCAAAAATATCAGACAGAATTTTTGAATTAGATTTTTGTCTTTTGAAGTTATTTTCAAGTTTATTCATGAAGCTGCAACCTGACTTCATTCATGACAGAATAACTGGTTCAACATGAGTCAGAAACTGAAAAATCTTTTTTTTTTTTTCCTTTCTTTTAAATATCACATAGGTGACAGACTGTTTGACACCAGAAGCGGGTCCATGATGCCAGTCAGATCACATGAGATGGATTCAACCTCATCCTTCCAGAAACCTGGTGTGTGTAGACATTGATGATAGTTCACAGAGACACAGTTATTGATATATACAGAATTTGTGTCCTCATTTTGATTTTCCAATTCCACCTCACCTGTGTATTCTTGGCCCAAGCAAGTCAGACCCTTTGGGTAAGTCAAAAAATAAATATATTGATGTAGCACTTTTAGCCACAAGAAAATGTATAACACTTGATTGAGAATCCAAATCGGTGTTGCAAGATTGGGCTGCTTTGTATTTACTTCTGCAGGTAAAAATAGTTTTGGGCGGGTTGTGATATTTTGGCTACTTTTTGTATCATTTGGGCAGTTTCCACCAATGTTACGTTAGGCTATATTCCAATAAATTGGTTCCTCCTCTCTTCTAATTAGTTTGATTGAGACTGAAAGGGGGACAGTAGGCTTTGCTTAACATACAAAGTAAGATAATTGATGACGAACAAAACCAAATATCATTTCAGTAAATTACAACGAGGCTGAAACTTATTTTCTTCTACTCAAATTATTATTCGGTTATAGCGCTGTGATAAAAATGACATCTGTTCCTATAAGTGAAAACTTTTAAAGTTTAATGTGACATTATCCAAGACTGTAGAGAAAAAATATTAAAATACTGTATACATAAAAGAACTCTCCTAAATGAATTTGGCTACTTCTATGATGACTGGGCAGGTTCTGGGGCTGAGGTTATTTATTATTTTCATTATTGATTCGTCCTCTGATTATTTTCTCATTTAATCAATTAATTAATCAAACTTTTGATCAATGAAATGCCAAAAAATATTTTGAAAAATAGGCCCATCACAACATCTGGTCCAGGTGACGCCTCTATGTGTGTTGTTTTGTCCAACCAACAATAAAAACCCAGAGATGTTCAGTTTACAATGATATAAAACTCCTCACACTGGAGAAGCTGTAACCTAAGAATCTGATTGGGCTTTTTTTTTGTCAGGCACATGTCGCACCACAGATCTGAACCTACAATACCTCACTGGCTTATTGAAATCCCCAAGTTGCATCCCTCTTGACAACCAAAGATGAAACTAACTTATCCAAATTAGAGAGCTACAAAAACTACAAGAATCAGACCCTCCTGAAAAACCTGTACACTGAATATTTCACCTGTTTGTGTCGTTGCAACTGTTGTGTGTGGGGTTTATTGTGCGGAACAGTTGAGGTGACTCACTGACAGCTGCACACAGATTGACTCAAGAGAAACAGAAATCAGCTGGTTAAAACAGAGCAGCTGTGGATGTAGTCGCCCCTCACGGACACAATGCAGAGAGGGCATAACTGAGATAGACTGGCATACTGTTGTTCGAGATATCTGCTTATAGAATACAGAATTATATTTGATATGGTTTTCCTGTTTATGTCCCTCTTTCACAGCTCATACATTTCTCCCACTCCGCCTTTTCAGAAGAGCTAAAGGTCTGTAATAAACTTTCCTGGGTCACTGTGCACATTTCAGCCCCTTTTGTCTCCCAGATTTATTCCAGATCGCAGCCACCAGAAGTCAAATGTCAGGCCTGTCAGTCCTTGAGTAAAAGATTTTTTTTTTTTCTATTCAGTAGCTTTTTAACTTCCAAGTTTGTACCTCAGTCTTTTCCCTTTATGCTCCTCAGATCTACAAGCACCTGCAGCAACGAGTGGCCCCAGAAGGAGGCAGTTTGGACCGTGTGAACTCTACTGATAAAACAGTCTGTCTGTCTTTTCACCCTCTCCCTCTCTATTCAATAGCCTCCAAGTATCTTGACAACCTTGCCTGGTATTTTGGCAGCAGTCCCTTGAGTGTTGATGTCAGCTGAGAGAGGGGAGGGAGGGAGGGAGGGAGGATGGGGTGGCTTTGGGGGTGAGGAGGGGAGGGCGGGCTGAAAGAGAGAGGGGAGGGGGAGGAGGAGTGAGCGGGCTATTCAAGGCACTTGTCCTCTGTCTCCCTCTGAGCATAGAAGAGGGGGAGGCGCACATGCATTGAGAGAAACACACTCACACACACATACTAGTAGCGGCCACATTTTCACAGCCTGCTCTCCAGACTGACAGCAGCAAACGGAGTTGAGAGCCAGCACGACACAGAGCAAGGGAAGGAGAATAGAGGACTGGAAACAAGGGAGGCATCCACAGAGGAGAGGGAGGAAGAGGAGACTTACACAGGATTTGCCTCTTTTTTTTTCTCTCCTTTAGCTCTCTGGGAGCTAGAAAGGGAATCTGCCCTGTTCTCTTCTTGATCTCAACTTGCTCTGCTAAAGGACCTGCACCCTGCTATGGCAGCCCCGGTGGGACATGGGAACATTGTTTCCCCCTCATCTTGCTCCTCTCATCGCTGGACTACCCTCCTCTGGGTACTGTTGACCCTTTCAAGTCAAGTCTGGGGCTTCAACCTGGATACTACCCACACTCTACATAAGTTTGGAGACCGTGGCACCTTTTTTGGTTTCTCTCTAGCACTTCACCAACAGCTTACCCCAGAGTCTCAGAGCTGGTGAGTGGGTGAATGTGGCATTGAGCTTGTCCTGTGTGTCCTGTGTGATTGTGACTTTTTGGTGCACCTTACATACTTGTGTTTTGTATCTGCACCTGCAACATAGTACACAAAATGCTATAGCATGAATTTTCTTTTTAAAAAGCTGGAATTTTATCTGTGTGGCTGCTACAGTCAGCGTTTCTATGCTGCACCAGTCCTTAGATCTGCTAAATCATTGCTACACTCATAACTCTGAACTGGGTGCTGGGTGAGTTTTAGCATGTTTGTGTGAGCCATGTAGAGAGGGCTCAGTTTTAGCATGTTTGTGTGAGCCCTCTCTACATGGCTCACACAAACATGCTAAAACTCACCCAGTAGCTTGAGCTCTGAGTTAGCCTAATAGATGATGATTTACAGTAAGTGGAGAGTGGATGAGAGTAGGTTTGCTGAGTCAGCAGGGATTTCTGTAAAAGGGATAAAATGGTTTTTAAGTGATTTTTCTGGAGCAGATCAGGTCTGATGCCAAAGATGCTTCGATGAGACACTGTTAGAGGAGAGGACACACTAAAGTGTCCCATAGTGTATAGGTCTGTGATTATGTGTTCATGGATGAGTTGTGTATGTGTGTTTGCTTGTCCATGTGACTGTGCGTTCTTTGATCTGCTGTTTGCCAACAGCTGTTTTGGTGTGTCTTTCAGTGTGACTGGATTAGTCATAAGCCCTGTTCCCGTCCTCCAGAAATAATGAATAAATTATAACATACAGTCTGCTAGTAAATGTTTGCAAGTGTTTACTGCATGACTATGAATAAGAGGCAACCTTAATTTACCTCTCCTGAAGTTTAATTAATATTGAAGAAAGGGGTGCAGATATTTTTTCTGATTACATGACAGAGAAAACTCTTTTGTAGTACACTGTATTAGCCCATAGGTCTGTGCTGCATTTTCCACTATAAATTCACTTGGCATGATTAAAGCCATCGTAGATGCCCCTGTACATTAACTACCTCAAGATCAACATTTGTTAAACATCTCCTTTTAACAGAGAAGCAATTGAGCATCACAGATGAGACACCAACACAATGCACAGATACGGGAATATGAATCAAACCAGTGATGGAAGAAGTAAAACTATCAGTACTACAATATAAAAATACTATTTGCGGACTAAATACTAATTATAGCTGTGAAATAAGAGTTAAAAGTAGAATATATGTCTTTGAAATGTAGTGTAGTAGGAGTATAAAGTAGAAACTAGTAGAAACTAGTAGAAAAGTGGCTCAACACTGTACTTAAGTATTTCCACCTGTGAGTATAACAAATGCAACACTGATGCGTGGTGTAATTCAAAATGAATGAATAAGGGAGTTAATTTACTACAGCTCCCCATTTTGGAGCTCCATATTTAACTGTTGGCTCCTCAGTTTACCCAGCATGCAGTCATCCTGTCGCCTGGTAAGACAGGGGGAATGAAATCAGCATTCACACAGACAGTCGTCAGAGCCGGAGAGTCAGGTCACCCCTCTGAAACCTGCTCACTGTCCAGCAGCATTCCTGGAACTTATTTTAAAAACTGACTGTGAGCTTCAAGTATTGTATCACTCTCTGCTGCAGCCTGTTTCAAACTGCAACAGAGGAAACACTCCTCAGAAACAGTCCATGCTGCATCAGCACAGCTGATACTGCCAGGAGATGGTCAATAAACTGGTCTAACCTTAAGTGCTGATGTGATGCACCTACTGGAAGAGTATGAATAATCCTGTTGCCAGTACGCCTTGACATCACACCTGCTGTATGACTTGCCATAGCCAGGACTTTAGAAATACTCATGTCATGGGTCAGTGTTCCCCCTCCCCCCATTGGACACCAAAATTAATGTATTGTATGAATTTCTTGTAATTATTCAGATTTTTAGCATTTTATTCATTTCATTAACTGTAGTTATGTTATTTGCAAATTCTACATCCCAACATGAAGGCTTATTCTGTCCTGTGAAAACTACGAGTCTCAGCTTTGTGACAGTGTAGTCCAATGTCCTTTTAAATGCTTTGGAATAAGAAGTAAAGGAGAGTTTACTCAGCTGGTAAAGTTACACTTAATAAACAATAACTGACTTTTTGTGCACTTGGGGGCAGAAGAAACAGGTTGTAAACGCAATATCCTTATCATTGCCTTTTAAAATTGATATGGCAAATTTGTTAGCACATAGTTGTTTGTAATTTGGAATTATGTCTCTGGCTACCAGGTGAATGGAAGTCCAATGTTCATTCTCATTTAGCTCTGTTTTTAGTCTTCACCAACTCCTGAGTGAAATTTCTTCTCTCTTTAGCTGCTTAATGCTGCGCGCTGTTTAAATGTTAGTAACTAACATTGTCTGTCTGTTGTTTTTTTATGGAGCATGTATTGTACAGTTGCTTTTCAGAACTGTTTTGCTGAAAACAGCTTCCAGGTGCATTTGAAAACAAAGCGAAAGACTAAAAGAGTTGTCGGACAGTGAGCTGAAAGTCACTATAAAGCTTCATAAGAGTGGAGCTGCAGATTATCCTCTGTAGGTTAATTGCCGTGACAAAAACCCTTTCACGCCGTCATATTGTTTTCACTTTTCATTTGATACATTTGTAGCTGCTGCAAGTTTATCTTAAAAATAATAAGTAATCAAATCCCCCAATATAAAATGTAAATTTGCAGGTTCCTTAAACTCCCAAATTTCCAGAAAAAATACAGAGATAATGTGCTCAGTTATAGCTCTACGGCCCAGATGACATGAGATGACTTCATGTGGACTGTAGGATGTCAAAACGTTTTGGATTGATGTTATTGCACTTTCAGAGTTAGAGAAATATATTATTGAGGTAGCAATCATCTTTCCTGTCTGAATAATACATTCCATTAACCATCATGATAGTGCCCTCTCTGTTTTATTGCAGTTCAGATCAGGGAGTTTAGTTTCGAAGGTGCTCCCGTTATTATCTCTGCTCATAACCTCTCTTCTGATGTACTGTCATGAAACTATTTGTGCGAAACTTACTGTAATTAGATGCTATTGACTCATTTTCTCTTTGTATTATGAAGTTTTGTGTTACTGTGGCCTGTGGCCATACTGTGTTGCAGTCATTGTGCATTATGCCACCAAATTCAAGGGTGAAAATGATATTACTGCTTTGATGTGCTGTCCTGTGCTTACTTATGATTGTATCACACAGTCTGTGATGTTAGAGTGCAAATACAAATCAGCTTAGTCATACTGTGGAGTTTCACCTTTTTTGGTTTTGGAGTTGCCCAGTTTGTTGGAGGCTCAGGAGAAAAACTGATTCCTAGAGCATCAGAGAAGATGCGTTGCATTTTTTTTTAAAGGCTGAACCACAAAATGTCAAGGCACAGGAATTCAACTTCACTGATGGCAGGTGTATGTAATCAATGTCTTCTTCAGCTTTACAGTATCTCCTCAGTACAGGATTGTGGCTGCTCCAAGCCCTACGCTTCCTTTTCAATATAAGACCAAGGCAAAGGTCAACCGATGTGACACAATGATCTCATATTGATTGATGTGCTGTAAGGAGATCCTGGACAGTGACATGTCAGGAGGAAGTAAAAGTATGCCACACTCAGAGGGGGATAAGCGCCTCGATCTGGCATCTCAGACCTCTGTAAACCTTCTGTATTATCTGTCTTGGTTGATGTTGTCCTGAAGCAGAGGCCCCAAGCTGAACTTAAGGGGCTTCTTATGCTGCTGCCGATGCCAGACAGAGGATGAGATGAGAGGGTATTTAAGTACAAGTTATGTGTGTGTCTGCTATTTGTACTGATGAGAAGTGCTTCCATGAATAGTTCACTGCCTGGTGAAGACAGGAAGCCCCCTGACCTTAATCCCTCCACTGCCAATCTTCCTGAAAACAGCTACTGCATGTTGTATTATAGTAAATCTGTCAAACAACATGCAACAGTAAAATACACCAGTCTTCTCCAGAAAAGCAAAATAAAAATATGATAATATGATCAATTTTAGGAGGTCATATTGGCAAGAGATAGATACCAAATAGGTGCGTTTTGGGCATGTCAGCATATTTGCTAATTACCACAACATTAGCAATTTCAATAGTTTTGTATCTGGTATCTGGTAATAAACCAAAGAACTGGACAAATAAATGTTTCACTTGATGACTGCACTAAAGTCAAGGGATCGCCACAGTCCTTAAGTCATTAATGTCCTTTTCAAGTTTTATTGTAATCCTCAAAAAGAAAAAAAGTGAAGTGTGTTCAGTCAGTAAGATTCATCCTCTGGGAAACATGAAGATCTGTACAAAATTCCATGGCAATCCATTTAATATTTGTTGAGATATTTCAGCCAGGACCAAAGTGGTGGACCAATAGATCGGCATTTCAGTCCCTTGAGCCACCCTGCTAATGTGGCTAAAAACACTGATAGTCTATATTCAGGATAAGCTGATTCTACACACTGCAGGCTTTTAATGTCCTACTTCAATATACTTAGAATAGACCTATGACAGCAAGATATAACATGCAGCTTTCTGCGTACAGTGCAGAATGTCAGAAAGGGTTAAAACCCCTTTAATATTTTTCACATTTTATGTTGCAGTCTTATGCTTAAAAAAGAAATCAACCTTGACACAATCATGTCTCTGAGCTCTGCAGGTAGTTCCTTCCTCCTCAGAGCTTTGCTCTGATATGCATTGTCATCGGTGAGCCCTTATATAGACAGGTGTGTGCCTTTCCAAATCAGTTCCAATCAGCTGAATTGACCACAGGTGTGCTGCAATCAAGGTGCCGAAACACTGCAAAGCTAATCAAGAGAAATGGGAGGCACCTGAGCTAAATTTCAAGTATCTGAATACTTATGTCAATGTAATATATTTTTCCTTTTTAATAAATTTACAACAATTTGTTAAATTCTGTTTTCAGTGAGAGTGATGAGGCAAAAGTTATTTTTTGTAAGGCTGCAACACAACAAAATGTGAAAAAATTGAAGGGGTCTGAACACTGTATGTAAATGTTTATGTC